AACCATCTCAGTGCCCTACTCTTTGTTTTGCTGATTAAGGATACCAATTAAACTCAGACACCAGAGTGAAAAGAGCAGGCATATTTTACTAGTGATAACCAATGTAACAGTGTAATACAGAAAACACGCAGTAAGAAAAAGCAGAATAGTGCACTTAAAGCACCAAACAGGAAAATACAGGGTAATGCATCAAATCATTACTACCTGAGATAGAATAGTGATTAAGAAAGATCCATCACCACTTGCATATATTACCATCATCCAGCCCCGCAGTGGCTGGGCAGCCCCGGTTACAGCGAGGGTTTGCAGAGCCTGTCCCGGCAAGGGGGAAATCCTATGCGGTGCCTCCACCCGTAGGTGAGGCTTCCAGAGTCACTGCAAAGGGGCCCAGCCTTGTATACCAGAGATCGACAGGCCAGCATAGCTGGCACCTTTGATTTGAGAGGAAAATTTCTGGTTTCATCCTCCCGTTGGATTCCACCCAAAGCCTGGCCAGGACTCAGGGGGGAAACCAAGGAAGTTTCTAACAAGGCCAGATCCTTGGGTTCTCAGCCTTGAACAAGGCTGAACAAGGGAAGTTGGAGACATTCTCTCCTCACTACTGATTCTATTTTGTCTAAGCTGCGTCTTTCACTAGCGAGTTTACATACTTTGTTAATGATTACAGACTAAGTTCACAGCTTCAGCTTGGGACCTGTTGTTCAGACTTCAGTATTTCAATGCTTTAGCACTTTTTACATCAGCATAAGTGTGTTGTTATAACTTAGTACAATACCTACTAGCAAAATGATTTTCAGTTATAAAACATTCAGGATTCATCTATAGGTCAACTCTGGCTTGGGCCAGTTGTCCAAGCCTTAGCACTTCACCTCTGAACTTTCTCCAGTTTGTCAGTGTCTTTTAACAAGGGACCCACAGTCGGACACAGTATTTCTGATAAGGTCTAATGAGTACCAAGCAGAGGGTGATAAACCCTGCCCTCGAACTGCTGCCTGTGCTGCTTGCTGTTTAGGGAGCCCAGATACCACTGGTCTTTCTTGCTGCAGGGATGCAGCAGGCTTATGCTTGGCTTGCTGCCCAACAAGCCAATAGGTTTAATGAGTGGAAGGTCGTTTGTACCTCCACAGAACTAAAATGTCCCCAGGTCTCAAAGTTTTGATGGTGTTGGTGTAAGCATCCTTACCAGGCTTCCTTTGGAGAAGGGTCTGAGTTGAAAACAGCTGGGTGAGGATGTTTAAGGGAAAAGATGGGAAGAGCTCTTGGAAAGCCTTTGAGATACAGACTTTTACAAAATGGAAGGGAACTGGTTCCTATGTAGTGTGGCAAATATGCAGACCTACCTGCTGCTTTATCACAGTGCTTCCCACTTAAGATAGTCTAGAAGAAAGCTGTGGTGTATGTATTTATGCTGTCTAATTTGTATTGTTTCCTTTCCTTGATAAATAGGTTGTTGTTTTTCAATGAACAAGGCATATTTCACAGCCTCTTTTTCATTGGGGCCTGGGCCTTTGTTGGGCCTTTTGACTGTTACTGGTGTTCAAACATGACATAGTATTAAGTAGTTTTTTATAGTAAAGATTAATTTTTTCATGTCTTTTTCCTGTGATACATCACATTTCTTTTTGTAATCGAAGTCCACAGTGTTGCAGTCCTGTGTTTGTCCTGCTGTGACACCTAGGTTGACACCTGTGAAACTTGCTGGTTTAAATTTAAGTAGCAGTGCTGCAATTTTCATTTCAATGGGCTACACTCCCCTGGGAAAAGTTAAAAACAGGAGCAAAAATGTTTACAGCATCTGAGTCCTGTTTGGTCACGTATCTGTATGTATATCTTCATACATCTACATATAGCTGGAAGGGATTATGACAGTCTCACAAGTGATCCATCTCTATTTCTCCAGCAACATGTTACTCTGTTCTGTCCTAATTAGTGCTGAGCACAAAGAGTAATTTATCAGACAAATGCAGCTGCTTTATCTGCTCAGGGAATATTTTAAACCAGACTATGATTCTTCTCCTATTTATTCAACAGTCATCAACACTTTTTTCGCATTGTTAACTGTCGATAGATCACTGAAATTTTTGTAATCGACACATGCTCTTAGACGAATTCACACGGATCATTTCTACAGTACTTGATATAATCTTTCAGCTCATTTTAGCAAATCGTGAGAGCCTGAATGTTGCCTGAAAAAATACAAAAATTCTTTCCACGCATGGTCAGCGTAAAACTTTTCAGTGCATCTTCTTTAAAATCCGTGTTTTCAAACAGAAAAAAAAAATCTCTGCAATGGATTCCAAGCAGCTTCAGTACGAAACATTATTCTGCAAAACTGAATCCTCTCAAGTGCGCTGAAAGCAAACACACAACGGCCGCTGAAAGCCTCTGTCTGTGGTTTGCTGGCCCGCGGCACCAGAGATCGCTCTGCCTGTCTCCTGGTAGCCTACGCCCAGCCCACTGGAAATAAGAGGTCACCGAGGCAGTCTTGTCCCTGAACCCGGCTTGGTGGGTCGGTCTTGCTGCTGGGCCTGGCGGAGGGGCCTCCCGCGCCCAACTGCCATTTCAGCCACCCCCGTGCCCATACCGCGACCGACACGGGCTCTCGTCCTGCACGGAGACACGCAGCTGTCGCCGAGTCTCCCCTGAAGCGCGCGGAGAGTTTGAAGCCAGCGAGCTGAGCCCGCGAAAGCCGAGAAGCCCCTTCGCTCTTCTGGCGCTTGACCGCTGCTGGCGTCGGCGCCAGCGCTGGGGGCGGGGGCACCCTCGGGGCTGCCCGGAGGCAGGGCCGCGCCTCACCAGGCTCGGCGGGACTCC